AACCTGATCTAGTGGGAGGTGTCCCTGCCCATGGAACTTGATGATTTTTAAGTTCTCTTCCAACCCAAACCATTCTATGATTCTATGATTCTATGATTTTTTGTAAATTTGGATTCTGCTTGGTTTTAAAAGGGTAATCTTTGCACTGAGGCAGAGCTCTCGCATCTGTATGAATGCTATGGCTGTTGTCTGCCTGCCCAAATAATTGTTTTAAAATTTTTTAAAATCAGTTGTTGTTAACTAGTTTAACATTGATAGAGTACATTTTTTGCTCTGTAATTCCTCTCCAGTTACGTAACACTGCACCTATTGAGCACATCAGAAATTTGGCCACCTAACGTTAAGCCTCTAAATCCATCCTTGCACTCCATAAAAGGGGGGGTTTTGAAGCATTTTTCCCTGCCCCAGTATCCCAAGTGCCAGACAGTTGTGTTACCCTGGCCTACAACCGTCAACCAGCTGCAAGGAGTACAGCAGAAGCTGCTGGTGGTGGAGGGGAATCATGGCACCGCACCGCGCTTTCCCCACCACAGCCCCACGCTCACCACGGCACGGCTGGAGCAGCCCTTCCTAGCACCCACCCGTGTGCACACTGATGCCCACTCACGTGTCAGCCGCGCTCCGGTGGCTTAGGGACTCTCCTGTCACAAGAACCCGACATGTGGCATCTCATGGCTTGGAAGTCCATCGACTGGAGACACGGGTAAGGCTGTAGGTCTGTGAACATCTGGAAGTGTAGTGATAAGTGGGGGAGGTTTCCAGCAAATGAAGTGCAGCTGGAGCTGCAGTGGCTGCTTGTGAAGAAGAGCTTACTCATTTTGCTTTTTGTTCCTTAATTAAAACTTCAGAATAATGTCAGCTTTCAGACCTGCGCGGCCTTTGAGAGATCAATCACATAATTCCACTAAAAGCTAAGTGATCTTTCTGTAACAAGACATTTTAATAAATGTGGTGATTATGTATGACAGTTTATCAAGACGTGAGGTCGAAGGCGTGAATGCAGTGTTACTGACGGGAACTACTCCCTCTTCAGGGGCTCCAGAAACTTCCTGCGTTTCAGCTCAAGCACTTACAAAATTATACATCTTCATATTTTTTGTCACTACTTTCATTGCTTAATGTAACTCTGCATGTAAAGGAAATGACAAGCTACATCAGACCATACATTTACTTCAATATTTAACTTATTTTTTGCATGGATCTTGCTGAAGCAGCAAGTTGTAAGGTCTACTCATAATCTGTTGGTTTCTGCATAACTTAAGTTTTTATTTTTAATTCAGATCATTGGTTCAGTTCAAGCTGAGGCTGTCTTGATTCTGCAACTGTAAACTGTCATCAGCCAAATTAATCTTTTAAGCCCCATTTATCTCACTGGTGTGGAGAATCTGGAAGCTACTGGTGAAGGTGAAAGTGTAAAAATTGTTAAATCCTTTCACTGCTAGTCATTTGAATGGCCACTTATCGTGATACTTAGGGAGAAAGACTGCTTTCTTTTCTGGGTTTTTGTCCAAGCTTTGTGTTAGCTCCTGTTTGTTTGGTCGATGAAAGCTCTTAGCAAAATAGATATTTGTCCAAACTTTACTTCAAAGACAGCTTTTGTATTTCAGTGGAATGATAACCAGAAGTAGCTGCTATTTATTTAGAGAGGAAAGGATTAAATGTGTACGACCAGAAGTTTCTACACAAATGTAGAACAGAACCATTTGGAACAAGGCGTTGCTGTTGGAGGGTTATCAACAACACAGGTTTCTAGATAGAGTTTGAAAAAAAAAAAAAGAAATCAGATTGTTTCTATTTATACCTGCCTTTGCCTTGGTAACCAGAGACTGCGTGAGGGATGCAGTATTTTCCCCACCTCATGGATGGCTCCAAAATGCATGCGCAGCCGTGCGGTACACACGGCGGCTGTAGAACTATCACAAGAACCGTCATGTGCATTTCTAAGAGAGGATTTTAAATACTAAGCAGGAAACAAAAGATTTCGGAAAGGGAGGTATATTAGTAAAGCTTCAAAATAATTTGCTCTCATTTCTGTCTCATCTACTCGATTCTTTGATCTTCTGAGTATTACAAGGACCGTTGCTCTTAAACACTTTTTCTTAATTACCCCAAGTAGCTTACCTGCATGCAGGGCAGCAGGATTTACTTATAATTGGACACATTATGCCTTTGCTCTATCAAGGACTTGAATAAGATAAGAATGGACTTCAATTGCTGTTTCTTTAACTCATTCTTGCTTACTTTAAATCAGCTACTCCCTACTTGATGAGTTTATCTGCAGCTTAGGTGCCCTTGTAGCCTTCTGCAGGGTTTAAAAGCCTTAAAACATGCTATGTTCTTGCAACTTTATTGTTGTGCTAAGCTCCTGCCCTGCTGGGAGAAAAAGCACTTGAGTTCCGGGAAACTGTTTTAGTCATAATTCTTTGTTGTTGCATTTTCCTTACACTTTTACTGTCAGGATGGGTGGAACAAACCAAGCCTCTGTCACCATAATACTTGGGTACTGTACCTTCTTAGAAAATGGATTTGGAGAGGGGAAAAGCAGGTAAATATAGGCTTAGAATGAATATGGGGAATCAGGGCCCTTACTGAACTTCTGGTGGGTTTGCTTCCCTTTTAAAAGCTTCACTACCCAGTTATGATCTGGAAAGTAATTGCTCTCTCCTGTGTAAGGCTCACAGAAGTCAGTGCCAAAGCAACATTAGCAGGGAAGTTGCTAATGTTCTGGGAAGCAGAGTGGGATCGGTAGTGAACCTGTTGGGCTTCAAAGATAGGGATATCTGACTTACAAAAACATGTTCTTGGGCTAAAAGTAGGCATTGCATTGTCATCCCTGAGAATCAATGTATAAATTTTCACATACAGCCTTCTTGCACTCTCGTTGCTATTTTGCCAGGCCCCAGGCCTTACAAAATGCTGAAGAACACTGGGAAGAAAACCGTTCTAGGGGGAGGAGAGGAGGCAGTTGGGAGTGCTGGAGCCCTTGCTCCACTCCTCCACATCTTCTCGGCTGGGGATCCCAGGGCTGGCGTGTGGTGCTGGAGGTGGAGGTGAAAGCTTTGTGCCATTTGGGAGTTTCCCCTTCATTTGCCTGATGGTGTAGTTTAGGCACAGCGTAAGAGATGCAAAAACCTATCCAAGCAGATTTCTCATTTCAAGTGTAATCACTCTCATTGCTTTTCCCACACTGCCTATATAAATAATTAAAAAAATAATAGAGATAATAGCACAAGCAGTTTCAAACTCTCAAAAGCAGGAGTAGTGGCAAGGGACCAGCACTTTAGGACATAAAACCACAATAAGCTGAATCATCGCACCTGCTCTGGCATGTTTATGAGGAGAAGTCTGAGTTGCCATAAGGCAAGTATGAACTGGTTTTGGGCAAGCGAAGTTCGGATTTCCATTCCCCTACAGTAGCAGAACCCTAAAAACAAGTTCCTGCTCCCCCTGTGCAGCCTGTAATGCTCCTCCGCAAAGACTTTCATGAATCTTGAGCCACTCTGTTGAAATCAACAGCTTTCAGATGAACCACGTTTGCTCTCATCTGCCAGCCGGATGGGAAAGAGCGGGGATGTTACACTGGTTACACTCCTCAACTTTGAGGGACGGCCTCACCCCACCAGTAGTGACACTGGGAGCTGCTGACCCACACAGCCACTGGAGAGGGGTGCAGGGAAGGAATGCTGCTCTCCTGCCCCACTCCCCCACGTGTGGTCCTTCACACAGGAGACCTGGCTGGAGGTCCTGTGCCTTTGGTGGAATACCTGGAGCAGCACCTCCAGGCAAGTCAGAGTGCAAGTGCTGCCAGGACGCTTCCCCGGCCCTCATGCAGCCTTTAGCAGTCTTTGGAGGAAGTTCAAGTAGCTGGAGAAGGAGACACACAAAGGAGAGGAACACTGTGTTGTTTTGCCAAACAAGAGATTAAACGGAGCCAAAGGTGAAGAGAAGCCCATGCACAAACAACTCTGTGGGAGCGTTGCCACCACACCACCCCCCTGGCACAGCTGTGGCCTTGGTCAGTGCTCGGATCCAGATGCGCAAGAAGTGTGGCGGTTACCCTGTTTCACTGAATTTCACTGAATTTCACTGAATTTTTAGAGTTGGAAGGGACCATAGAGATCATCTAGTCCAACTCCCCTGCTAAAGCAGGACCACCCAGAGCTTGTCAGAGCATGTTACTCAGGACTGCATCAAGGCGGGTCTTGAAAATCTCCAGAGAAGGGGACTCCACAACCTCCCTGGGCAGCCTGTTCCAGGGCTCCGTCACCCTCACCGTGAAAAAGTTCTTCCTCATATTCAAGTGGAACCCTTTATGTTCCAACTTGTGCCCATTGCCCCTTGTCCTCTCACTGGCAACTACTGAGGGATTGCTTCCAGGCCGGTGATGAGCACTTCCAGGGACAATGTTCACTGTGCCGGGGATGGAGGATGAGGCCTTTCCTTTGCATCGACTCCCAAAAACCTCTGAAGCAAAAGCCAGGAGCCGGAGCCGCAGCGAGGCCGCAGAGGCAGCAGGCAGTGTCCCACAGGGCGCTCTGCCCCTCGTTCCCCTTTGCGTGGCACCGTAGGTCTGAAAATGCCGGCAGCCCCCCGGCCTCCCGCAGGGAGCGGTGCCAGGCCTCTCCCCCCGGGGACGGCCTGAGGGGCTCCCGGGGCCGGCCGCGGGCACAGCCCTCACCCAGCCGCCGGCCCTTCCCTCCCGCCCCGGCTGAGGAGCGCTCTGCAGACCTTCCAGCCCCCGCCTCATCCCTCCTTGCCCGGGATTTGATCGTCCCCCCCCCGGGGGCTGCCCGCGGGAGGCCGCCGAGCGCCGCCGGCCC